CTCTCTGCACTCCTAGTCTTTGACTTTCTCTCTGCACTCCTAGTCTTTGACTTTCTCTCTGCACTCCTAGTCTTTGACTTTCTCTCTGCACTCCTAGTCTTTGACTTTGAGGTAGAAATGCAAACAAAGAAAATCATAATCTAAAACATATTTTTTTAAAAGCTAATTAAGTCATGAACGACAGAGGATGAGCAAAAACTCCTCAGAACCGCTCACTTTTAGTTGAAACGTTTTTGCTCAAATAGCAGCACGCAGCATGTTGTTCGTGTAAACATTTCCCTTTTCCCTTCAGTGGCATTTCAAATTCTATTTCAAGTTGTAGGGAACAATCATAGCCAGGTAGTTGAACAGAATCGTCCCTAGCTGGTGTGGAGATGATTTATCAAGATGATCAAAGCTGCTCACGCACGATGGGAAAATCGCAACGACGCGGAACGAGTGGGACTGGGGATGAAACTAATTTCCTGTTCCTTGGCTTTTCTGAAAACATCTGGTACTTCAACGTACGGAGTGGTTCTGATTATCTATTTATAGTTTAGTGCATTCTATTTGAGGTTCTGTGGGCTTTCAGAAGTACTGTAATGTGATAATTCGTGCATTCTATGACATGTTCTGACGTCATCAGCCGTACTGTAATGTGTATATTCCTTCCTTATACTAATGTGATATTTTAACGTCATCAACTATACTGCAATGTGTTTTCTCGTGCATTCTCTGATGTGGTGATCTGCCGTCATCAGCTGTACTGTAAAGTATGGTTTTCTTTACGAAGTTTATTTGTTGTGTGACGTCAGCAGTAACCATAGAGAATAACTGACCAATCAGGGGAGAGGGAGACGGGGGAAACAGTGAATGTTTGGTGGATCTTTGTCACCGTCAGCACTGGACTGTTGGGCTACTGTGTTCAGGATGCGGATCCCCCCAACCCCCCACCCCACCTCCCCAAAAAGCCCCCAAAACTGCCTTTTCAAAATGCGCTGTCTTTTGCCTGCATACATTCGCTCACACACACACACACACACACACACACACACACACACACACACACACACACAACGTTTCCCTCCCCACACATCTCACCAAGTCTCTCTCTCTCTCTCTCTCCCCCCAGGATGACAAGATGGGTCTCACAGGATGTGGGAAGTTCCTCAAGTACTCCATGTTCCTCTTCAACGCCGTCATACTGGTGAGTACATTATGTTATAGTAGATTCAACGCCGTCATACTGGTGAGTAGATGTTGTAGTAGATTCAACGCCGTCATACTTCATACTGGTGAGTAGATGTTGTAGTAGATTCAACGCCGTCATACTGGTGAGTAGATGTTGTAGTAG